TTATTTCCTTGGACTTGGCGGAGGCACGGGGAGGCTCCAGCTCTAGGATCTCCATGTTGTCGGCGGGCAACGTCTTGGCTTCGGTGACCACACTGGCCATTTGGATGGAGAGGTTGGTGGCTTCGGCGAGAGCGAGACTCTCTGTCTCACAGGCGTAGGCGATGGAGAGGTTGGCCCGCAGGGCCAGAACTCCTACAGGCGAAGGCATCTTCAACACCAGATACGCGTAGTGCAATACAACCATGAACTTGGCCAGAGCTAGCCGACCAAGTATAGCGTGGTAGGCGGTGTTGAAGTCAGCGATGTAGAAGTTGATGTGTTCGACGTGGTAGTTGCTTGCCGTGCCGAACTGTACTGGTAGGGTAATCTCTCCAAGCGGTTTGGAGGCCCTGCTAGGTACCACACCCCAAAAGGAGGAGTCGGAGGGTGTGAGATCTGATAGCCCAAGGCCTAGCTCCTTTAGGGCTCTAGCGAAGAGGAGATTCAGTGCGCTCCCACCGTCAACGAGCACCTTTCTAAAAAGCACCTTCTGGATGGTTGTGTCGAGGACGAGGGGGAAACGCCCTATGTAGGGGATGTCTGCCCACTGGTCAACCCTGCTGAAGGTGATGGGTATCTCAGACCATGGGCGATAATTGGGGTTGGCGGTGGCGTCTTTCGTAGTGACGGAGAGCACCCGCCGTGCAGCGAGCTTCTGTTCTCTTCTGCTCTCGGTGGAGGCAAGGCCCCTAAAGATGGTGGCGACCACCTTGTCGTGGTCCTAGAAGGCATTGTTGTTGCCCCTAGGTGGTCGGCGGCCTCTGGCTCCGTCGTTGGCATCGTCTTCCAGCTTTTTGTCCTAAAACTCCTTAGCCAAGCCGAGGCAGTTCTTCATCTTGTGTTTGGCATTCTTGTGAAGAGGGCACGGGCCATCAAGGATCTTTTGATACTGCTCATCATAGTTGTGCTTGGTGCGAGGTTGACTGACGGCGGCGACGATGTGGTCTGGTCGGCGGCGGCGATTTTGGCCAGACCTGGGTCCTTCTGTTCGATCACGGCCGCTATCACGATGGTAATTGTGGTCATCGAAGCGGCGATCATTGTGGTGTCGGTCGTCGGGGCGGTCGTTGTAGCAGCGTGATGGCGATGAGTGCCCGCATCCTCGTTGAAGCGCACCTCGGCTTCCTCGCCATCGGCGTACTGGTTGGCAGTAGTGATCATCTCGCCGATGCCTGTGGGTGGCTTGTGGTTGAATTTGGAGCGAAGCTCGCGATGGTGGAGTCCTCGGATGAAGGCGGTGATGACCTCAACTTCCGTGATGTTGGGAATAGAATTCCTTATCTCGGAAAAGCATCGAATGTAGCTGCGGAGGACCTTGGACGGCTTCTAGTTGATGCGGTTGAGATTATGCTTGGTGCCCGGCCGAGTACACGTAGCCATATAATTGTCGATGAAGACTTTTTTTAGCTATTCCCTGGATCCGATGGAGTCCGGGGCAAGGCTAGTAAACCAACTCATGGCGGGTGGCGTGAGCATGATGGGGAGATAGTTCGCCATGACACTGGTGTCTCCTCCGGCGGCGCGGACAGCGGTGGCATAAGCCTGTAGCCACTATGTTGGATTCATCCTTCCCTCGTAGGGCTCGACCCCAGTGATTTTAAAACCACGGGGCCACTGAAGTGTTCGGAGCACCCTCGTAAACGTTGGGGACCCTTCGAGGTTGTGGTCGGCGTCAGCTGCAGCGTTGCCGGCGTCGATCGACTCGAGAGCTGAGTTTAGGTTTCCGTACTCCTGCTCATACTCCTGGCAGCGACGTACTTCGTCTTCATGGCGACTGAAGCGACGTTGCTCGATACGCCGTCGTGCATCCCAGAGGTTGCTGAGGTGCACTCAAGCGTCTTGTTCGACCTCCTGGTCGTGTTGGCGATGGTGTTCGGCGCGGTGGCCCCCGGCTCCCCCCTAGAGATGCAGCGACTGGTCAGTGAAACGGCTTTGACTGGGGCAGTGATTGGATCTCGGCACAGCTGATTGGCGAATCATGCTCGTAGAGCACGAAGGTCATTGATCCTCGCAAATCTCATTACCCTGACAGTGTGCCGCTTTAAGCATGGCGGTGACCTTGGCGAGCTCGGGCGTCTGCGGGAGGCGGGCGAGCTCATTGGCGGCCACTGCCAGATTGGCGCTTGGAGTCTTGAAGACGTCATGGCCGTCAACGCAGAGAAACTCTTCGTCAAGGTCGCAGTGGAGCGGGAGTGGCCTTCCTTGTGAGTCGAGCCGATTATTTTGAGCAGCCTCGGCCCTCGCAATGGCTGCCTTGTTTTCTCGGCGCTGCGCACGGTTGACGTTCCGGTTCTCACGAGCGACGCATTCCTCCTCAGTTTCACCATTCCGAGGAGGGCTGTCGACGTTGACGTTGAAGATCGCGCCACCCCGGAAGGGTGGGAGAAGGAGTTGCTCGGTGAAGGTTTTGGCGAGGGTCTCCGTAGAGCCCTAAGACTCAGAGCCCGGATTTTCCTCTAGGATGGTCTGGAGGGACACTCCGAGGCACCGGCCTATGTGTAGCATGTTGATGGCTGGTGGAAGCTAGATGGCGATCTGGTCAGCGAGTGGATGGGCGCATCCCACCTGGTCGGTGAATTTGCCCCTCAGGGAGTCTTGGTAAGTAGCGGCGACGTTGGTGAGCCCGAAGGGTAGAGCCGCAACTCCTAGAGTTTTTCGAGCAGCCTCCGATAAATTTGGATCAGAGGGTGGTCGGCGCTGAACCAAAGTGTCTAGGGCCGATTTGACGATGGAGAGGCAATCGGCAAGCTTCAGACCGACCCGATCGATGGACTCGATCAGATCGTCATCGTTGATCTACCTCCTCTGGTAGCGAGGAAGTGGGCGGCGAGTTGCTGATGAAGGCGACCTCAGAGGTGGTTCCGAGATCGGATCTGTAGTCGCAGGTGCGGGGATGATCGGCACAGAAACGATATGCGCTGGCTCAAAGAGCTCTCTGACTCCATCAGCGTTGATGATCCAGGAGATCGATCCGACCATGAAGATCTGGCCAGGCTACGGGAGAGACGAAGAGCCTGCGGAAAAAACCATCTTGTTCGACAAGGAAATAGCACGCAATCCCCTACCTGGCGCACCAACGCAATCCCCTACCTGGCGCACCAACTGTCGATAGAATATCATCGATAGTCCTTCGAAGGGTATCCCATGAAGGTAAATTGATTGGCAGAGGAGCGTGAGATCAAGAACAAGAAGGCAACAGAGACACACGAGCTAGACAAGTTTAGGCCGTCAGTATGACGTAATACCCTACTCCTGTGGTTTGTTAGTTTGTATTAGCTATCGTATGATATTGTGTGAGTTTGGAGGGGGTCACTGCCTACCTTATAAAGTCTGGGAGCAGGGTTACAAGTCGGTTAGATCTGAGAGATAACCGGAAAGTAATAACTAATTACAGAAATCTTGGGATCATACATATCCTAATAGATCTCGTAGTATCTTCAGGATATCTTCCAGATGTCTTGCGGAAGGCGCTGACCGGAGTCGTGCCCCGCAAGGCTTCGTCTTGTGTGCTGGGCCACCTCTGAGAGCGTAGCCCATGTGGTCTGCCATGGGTATCTGGGGTCATACCCCCCACAGTCATCTTCTGGCTCAACTGCAACAGCATTAGAATCCTCATTGTCACTATGCAACATATCATCAGGAGGTGCGGATTCATCTTCCAGTTTTAGAATCTTGCTGTGCTCATCGAGGCCCAACTTGATGTCACCACCAGTAAGATTAGAAGGTTCATCATCAACAACCATTTTCTTATTGGTGTCATCTTCCAGGGTTTTCTCAATAGTATCACCATGACCTTCAGAGTGTGAATTTGCTTCCTTCACTGTAGTATTACCACTTGAAGTTGAATCCGGACCATTACCATTGGTTTCATCAGTTGCGGCTGTATTGACTAGAGAAGACTCAACTTCTGCAACAACATCCAAACTTCTCTTACTAGCTTCTGTAGTACCAACCATAAGGCCTTTTGCCGCAGCCACAATACGTTCCTTAGGATAAGCATGCAATGCAGTAGCATCAAACAGTGTTGATACTTCTTCCTGTTCAATTTTGTAGTCTACATGGGCACCTAACTCCACATTAGTATGTGTAAGACCAGATGGTACATCATCAATGATCATTTTTTGCTTGTGTCATCATCTGGCCCTTTTGCCACAACCACAATATGTTCCTTAGGATAAGCATGTAATGCAGTAGCATCAGACAGTATTGATACTTCTTCCTGTTCAATTTTGTAGTCTACCTTGGCACCTAACTCAACATTGGTATGTGTAGGACCAGACGGGACATCATCAATGATCATTTTTTTTGCTTGTGTCATCTTCTGGCTCAGCAACTGCGACAACATCAGAATCCTCATTATGACTATGCAACATATCATCAGGAGGTGCGAGTTCATCTTCCAGTTTTAGAATCTTGCTATGCTCATCGAGGCCCAACTTGATGTCACCACTAGTAAGATTAGAAGGTTCATCATCAACAATCATTTTCATATTGGTGTCATCTTCTAGGGTTTTCTCAATAGTATCGCCATGACCTTCAGAGTGTGAATTTGCTTCCTTCACTTTAGTATTACCACTTGAAGTTGAATCCAGACCATTACCATTGGTTTCATCAGTTGCGGCCGTATTGACTAGAGAACACTCAACTTCTCTGACTAGCTTCTGCAGTACCAACCACAAGGACTTTTGCCGTAGCCACAATACGTTCCTTAGGATAAGCATGCAATGCAGTAGCATCAAACAATGTTGATACTTCTTCCTGTTCAATTTTGCAGTCTACCTAGGCACCTAACTCCACATTAGTATGTGTAAGACCAGATGGTACATCATCAATGATCATTTTTTGCTTGTGTCATCTTTTGGCCCTTTTGCCATAGCCATAATATGTTCCTTAGGATAAGCATGCAATGCAGTAGCATTAGACAATATTGATACTTCTTTCTGTTTAATTTTGCAGTCTACCTTGGCACCTAATTCAACGTTAGTATGTGTAGGACCAGACGGGACATCATCAATGATCATTTTTTTGCTTGTGTCATCTTCTGGCTCAGCAACTGCAACAACATCAGAATCCTCATTATCAGTATGCAACATATCATCAGGAGGTGCGGGTTCATCTTCCAGTTTTACAATCTTGCTATGCTCATCGAGGCCCGACTTGATGTCACCACCAGTAAGATTAGAAGGTTCATCATCAACAGCCATTTTCTTATTGGTGTCATCTTCTGAGGTTTTCTCAATAGTATCGCCATGACATTCAGAGTGTGAATTTGCTTCCTTCACTATAGTATTACCACTTGAAGTTGAATCCGGACCATTACCGTTGGTTTCATCAGTTGCGGCTGTATTGACTAGATAAGACTCAACTTCTGCAATAACATCCAAACTTCTCCGACTAGCTTCTGCAGTACCAACCACAAGGCCTTTTGCCGCAGCCACAATACATTCCTTAGGATAGGCATGCAATGCAGTAGCATCAAATAGTGTTGATACTTCGTCCTGTTCAATTTTGCAGTCTACTTGGGCACCTAACTCCACATTAGTATGTGTAAGACCAGATGGTACATCATCAATGATCATTTTTTTGCTTGTGTCGTCTTCTGGCCCTTTTGCCACATCCACAATATGTTCCTTAGGATAAGCATGCAATGCAGTAGCATTAGACAATATTGATACTTCTTCCTGTTCAATTTTGTAGTCTACCTTGGCACCTAACTCAACATTAGTATGTGTAGGACCAAACGGGACATCATCAATGATCATTTTTTTGCTTGTGTCATCTTCTGGCTCAGCAACTGCAACAGCATCAGAATCCTCATTATCAGTATGCAACATATCATCAGGAGGTGCGAGTTCATCTTCCAGTTTTAGAATCTTGCTGTGCTCATCGAGGCCCAACTTGATGTCACCACCATTAAGATTAGAAGGTTCATCATCAACAACCATTTTCATATTGGTGTCATCTTCTGAGGTTTTCTCGATAGTATCGCCATGACCTTCAGAGTGTGAATTTGCTTCCTTCACTTTAGTATTACCACTTGAAGTTGAATCGGACCATTACCATTGGTTTCATCGATTCATGTAGTATATTGACTAGAGAAGACTCAACTTCGCAACAACATCCAAACTTCTCTCGACTAGCTTCTTCAGTATTACAACCACAAGGCCTTTTGCCATGACCCACAATACGTTCCTTAGGATAGGCATGCAATGCAAGAGCATCAAATAGTGTTGATACTTCTTCCTGCTCAATTTTGCGTACTACCTAGGCACCTAACTCCACATTAGTATGTGTAAGACCGTATGGTACATCATCAATGATCATTTTTTGCTTGTGTCATCTTCCGCTCTCAAGAATCGCAACAACATCGTAATCCTCACGATGACTATGCAATTTCATATCGAGGTGCGGGTTCATCTTCCGCTTTTAGAATCTTCTTTGTGCACATCGAGGCCCAACTTGATGTCACTACCAAGAAGATCGTAGGTTCATCATCAACGTCCATTTTTTTATTGGTGTCATCTTCCGGGTCTTCTCGATAGTATCATCATGACCTTCGTGAGTGTGGATTTGCTTTCTTCACTATAGTATTACCACTTGAAGTTCAATCTAGACCGTCACCATTGGTTTCATCGATTCTTGTAACTTGATGTCACTAGAGAAGACTCAACTTCATCATCAACAACATCCAAACTTTTCTGACTAGCTTCTACAGTACCAACCACAGCCTCCTGAGTAACTTCTGAAGTAGCAAATGTACTTTCATCATAAGCTTCTATAACAGAGATAACAAGATCTGCCCCTGTTTCGCAACCTCAGAAGGTCCTTTATCAACATGTTGCTCAATTGAAGCCTAGTTAACAGATGCAACAATGGAACCAGGAGTTTCACCTCCATCCGGTTCCTCAGGAGGGGAAGTTACAACAGTTGCTTTTCCCTCACTATCAAGTATCTCATCTTGCATGTCCTCAAAGTTCCTCTTCAAAAGATCATCCTTCAAACCACTGACAGGCAGATACCTTCGCTCAAGCTCATCCTTAAACTCCGTAACCGTCCACTGATCAATTGGTTGGTTGTTCAATACAGGATATGTCGACATTGTGACTGCAAAAGGTTTTCCCAGTAGAGCCAGTAAGAAGTAGCTTAAATTGTTGCAAAAGTTACACAAGATTTCCAAGAGCAAAATCAAGCAGGCTTCTACAGTTCCAATGAGACAAAATCATCTATATCATATCATAGGATACCAATATATGAATCAAATTAAGCATTGTATATTCTTGAGTAGCAACAACATTTTAGGTCATTTCACATGCTTTATAGGCTTTTCAGGCTCCCTGCCACGTTGGTGTGCCTATCTGGCGTGTCACCTTAGTAAAAATGGCAAAAACGTAGAAAAATTACTGTTTACGATGAAAAATATGTTGGAGCACGTATAAAGATGGCAAATGGAGTGACATCGGTAAGGACGACGAAAAGTTAAAAATCCCGTCTGTTTGCGCTTGCGCCGCTTGTGGCGCCCAGTAGCCTGGAAATGGAGAACAGCCAAACGACAGGGTGCTGCCGCCTGACAGATGGGGGCCACGCATGCGCATCAGTCTTCAGCACGCCTTCCCCTCGTCACGTGTACGAGAATACGTTTTCGCAATTGAGACACGTATTTTTTTGGTTGCCGTCTCTTTTACTATAAGCGCCGTCTCGAACCCGAACGGGCTCGAGCCTCGAACCCTAACCCCCACCACGTAATTCCTTGGAATTACCAAAATGCCACTCTTCTTCTCCAAATTCGCACCATTGGTCCCCCGCGTCCGCCGCCTCTCCACCGCCGCGGCGACAGCCGCCCGCGAGGATCCTAAGCTGTCGCGAATCGCGGATGAGCTCCTCGCCCTATCCCCCGCAGAGCTGGACGACTACGCGGCGCTCCTGCGCCTCAAGCTCCGCCTCTCGCTCACCTCCAGCACAGCTGCTGGAGCCTCTCCGGCCGGGGCTGGGGACGCCGCGGCTGGAGCCGAGGAGGCCGCCGCGGCGGTGAAGACGGCGTTCGACGTGAAGATCGAGAAGTACGAGGCCGCAGCGAAGATAAAGATCATCAAGGAGGTGCGCGCGGTAACGGACCTGGGTCTGAAGGAGGCAAAGGAGCTCGTAGAGAAGGCGCCCGTCGTGGTGCGCGCGGGGTTGCCCAAAGAGGTGGCCGAGGCGCTCGCCGCCAAGCTCAAGGCCGCCGGTGCCGCCGTAGCACTCGAGTGATCCACGAAGGTGTCGCCTCTTTTTTGTTTCTAGTGTTCTTAGATGATGCAACGACGTGTACGCCTTAATTTGTTTGAAATGGAATTCAATGGGATTGGAGCGGTCGGGTAGGGGTATACAGGATGCAGGTTCTACTTGCGTTGTTGTAGCTTTGGATAAGCCTCACGCCTAATCACTGATATGAGTGACAGCATTTTCCTAATGGCACAATAGGGTGTTCCTGCACTATGTTCTATATTACAGGCCTGGGTTGGTTTGAACAGCCAGCCTTAAGTAGTTGAATTATTTGTTCATTTCAAGTGGTGCTCAAGTGAAATGTATCCATTATCTTTGTTCTGGTGCATGAAACTGTTTGTCTAACATCGGTTGAGCTGGTTTGGCCATGTCCAAAGGAGACCTCCAGGCACTAGTGCACTGTGGAGTCCGAAGCCAAGCTAATAATACGAGGAGAGGTTGAGGAAGACCGAAATTGACATGGGGGAGGCAATAAAAAGAGATTTGAAAGCTTGGGATATACCTAAAGATCTATGTTTGAATAGGAGTACTTGGAAAGTAGCTATTGAAGTGCCTGAACCGTGACTTGGGGTTCTTGGTGGGTTTCAACTGTAGCCTACCCTAACTTGCTTGGGATTGAAAGGCTATGTTGTTGTTGGTGGTGGTGCATGAAACTGTTTGTGATCATATTATTAAGGGTAAAGCTTGTGTTCTCTTAGGTATCCACCATAGGTTCCGTCCATTTCATGTGCTGTTTGAAAGCGATTTTTCATGGTTAGCCGGACAATGAAAACGATTGTTTAAAAGTTAGCCTGAAATGAATGATGATTTCTGTACATTTAAATAGTTCTGTCCAAAGACATAGCTTATATGAAGGTGGTGTATCATTGATAAAGGTGAAAAATACAAGACATCAATCCTTATGTGTTGTATAAATGATATAATGCGCAGCTGTGTGCTACTTCTTACCCTTCATGGTTTGCTTATGCTTAATCACACAATGTTTATTCCTTGGTTTAAGGTAGTCATATATTATTGTCTTAATTCAAAATTAATGAACAAGATTTTGTGCTTTGTAATGGCTAACCAAACATGTTTGCTTAGCTGTATAATTTTTCCCTTGAATATCGTCAGTCATCCCTACATACTAAATTCAGCTGCCAATTTTCAACTGTGTAAGCCTGTAAAACTTCTTTAAGTGAGCTCTTGGAAATTAGGGGAAATTGGCATGTTTTTGCATCTCTTTATTTGTAGTTGTCTTCTGTAGTAGGTTGTGATAAGCACCGTATGTTTCCTCTTTGTTTGCTGCTTAGCATAAACTGCTCTAGGATCTTATGTGTCATTGTGCCATGTTTTGTCTCCTACTTAATTCATGACAGAGGTATGCTTAGCACGATCTCAAGAAACGAAAGCTTTGCAGTGTCATCCATGAGACCATGATGCGTGTCATCGAGAGTATCGCGCAATGGTCTGTAAAAGGTCCAAGACACTGAGTGTATAGCTTTTGAAGTGTCTATCTACAAGCTTGCCATTTCCTTGTTTTACCCATGTGTGAATGCAATAGTGCTTCATAAACTTTAAGGCCCTGTTCACTTGTCTTATGAGCCGTACTGTTTCAGCGAAAGAACAGTGTTTTTCTCTCACAACGAATCAATGAAGGAATGAAATGCTGCAAGCCAGTCTGTTCTTATATGTGCTCTCTTTTAACTGACCCTTTTAAAGATAGTGTTGATGTTTGATAATGCTGTGCTTTTACTGAAGAGAATTCATCAGTTATTTAACTCCGTTAGCCTTCTTGTCGGCGCTTGACTGTCGCATACCAGACAGTTTATGGTTTCCTATTTGTGATATAATTGCTTATGTGGGGGGTGTAAGTGTGTCATGTCTTTGTACTGAATTGCTCCTCTTCTTAATTAAGCGGCAAAGCTTGTGCCTTTTCATTAAAAAAGGATATAATTGCTCATTATGTTGTTTCAATACTATCTCCATTTCAAAAAAAAAAAGGGTAGGTCGTTTTAGTTTTCTCTAAGGCAAACTTCTCCAACTCTTATCAATTTTAGTGAGAAATACTCCAACATCACACTAGCAATTAGTTGGATTAAATCCACCATGAAATATATCTTGATAGTGCATTTATTTTATATTTGTATATGTTATTCGATTTTTCTTTGAATTTAGTCATTTAGAAAAGTTCAACTTAGAACAGAGCTAAAGCTAGCTATCTACATAATGGAATGGAGGGAGTACTTGAACTTTGGTGGTGTTGCTTTCATAACTGCAACAGCTGCAATTGCTGTTCAGCTGTTGATATGAACTGTACAGTGGGCAGAGACATCTTCAAGCCTCTAATTCGTTCGTTGAAAAGTACCGATGAACTAGTGGTGCAGAACAGGGCGATTTTTTACTACTGAGACCAATGCTAATGTTTGATTTTGCTTCTGACCTACTTTTGTTGTAGCAGTTGTATACATGTATTCATATCGCTGCAAATTCAGCCAAGTTACTGATGCATTTACTATTTTTCTAAACAAAACTGGTGTCCTTAAAAAGACAAATCTGGTGTTTTAGTTTTTGTTTCTGAACCAAGGCAGCCACCATCCAACAGAGAAAAGGCAGGCAGCCATAGAATAGTAATAGTAATAAAACTGATAAAGAAAAAAAAATTGCAGGACGCGCGATCGCAAAAGGAAGTTGCGAAATCTGAATCAATGGGCCATGCCCGACTAATGATTCATCTACGAAATAAATCAACATGAACAAAATCGTAAGTTTATATATCAACCTATCTATCTACTTCCTTCATCCAAATTACGAAGTGTTATGGTTTTAATAGATACATAGCAAGCTATGTACTTCAATATACATTATATCTAGATACATAATAAAAACAATCTATTTAACAAAAAGATATCAAAACGTCTTAGATTTTGAAATGGGCGCAGTATTTATCATCATCATGACCCTGTGAAAAAGATAAGTTTTTCTTTTAAGATTTTGACACAACATACATGTGAGTATGTTGTAATACGCGTGCCCACTAGTTTGATAACGCTTGCAAAATCACGAAGAATTTGCCTGACCAACCCCTTGATCGCCGGATACATACAATACAGGAGTTATATTTGATGAAGATTCCACCATCTTTCGCTCCAAGAAAATAATATCTGCACATACGCGCGCATTTTTCAATTATTACAACTACACCCTCACTGCCTGCGTTCAGTTTGCAAAAATCACCTGTAAGGTAGGAAACTTTACTAGTATTGTCCTTCCTCTTCCTCTGCATATGTTCCCTTAAACCTCCATAGGCGGTCTTCACTCCTCCTGCCGCCTCCTCTCCCAGCACGCGCCGCCAGCTCCGGCGAGCCGCCGCCGAAACCGGTGGCCGACAGGTCCCGTGAGCCGTACCTTCGCCTTCCGCCCCGCTCTCTTCTGCTTCCTTGATGGCGACCTCGGCGCTGCTGCGGGCTCTCCGGCGGCCCTCATCCGAAGCCGCGCTGCGATTGGTGAGTGGAATATGTTCTCTTTTAGCAATTGTGTAACCCTGATATTTAGATTTCGAGTAGTAAGCTATATGTGAACAACAATGGCTGTTTTTTCTGAAATAGCATATGGGCATTTGCTCCTCATGTTATCTGAAATAGCTTGTGAGCAGTATCCTGTTGAGGAGTAGCCACCACCCAACCACCAGTATTGTTTATTGTTTGGGAGGTAAAAAAAATGAAATAACTTCCGTGAAAATAAATATGTTCACTTTTTTTCCGACAGCGGGATTTCCTGAGTTTCATTACCAAAGCAACAAAATTATAGAATGTTTAAAGTCTTTAGTGTATTAAATTATGTCAAGATTGAAGGAACCATTGTCTCCTACACATGCTTTGCTTTTAATTGGATTCGTAGATTTTTGTGAAATCGCGGTCTCCTCACATTGCACAGGCGAGTGTAAGGCTTACCACTGACACCCTTCCCCAGACCCCGCACATGCTTTTTAATCCATTATTAATGTAATTTCTTTATGGCTGCACAAACAAGGGACAGATGGCAGTTTAAACTTGCTTGTACACCTTTGTTAAGCTATGATTTGCTTGTTTGCAGTAACACAAACAGTGCAATTTCATAGGTTAGTTAGGCCTAGTGTATTGACTTGATGTTTTTAAAAACAGAAGTTCTCTGTGTCTTTTTCTTCATTCAATATGTGACCAAACCAAAGCGGGATGCCACTGAAGTTTGGTTTTTGTTGCATGCCTTATCTTTATCCTTTTTTTTTCTTTTATTACGTAGCTGCACGCATCCTACTAATTGCCATCCATTGCTGGCACATGGTATAGGCAACGAGGGCAAATGTGCAAGCAACTACTTCATATAGATATTTGAATAATAGGAACCTAAGTGTTTTCAATGAGTTCTCGAAGCAACTAAAGGGTGAGGCGAGCAGGTATGTGTTACTTTCGAAGGTCTCCACCATCATGAAAGCTTAAACAACTGAAATAATGGTTATATACTGCTGGAACACCTTTTATATGTATGGCGATCAGCAATTTTTTCTCTTTATTTATTATTATTATTATTATTTTGTTGCAGCAATCCTGAATTCCAGAAATCCATGAAGGAGTTCGGAGAGAAACTTGGTGTGGTAAAGGAAGATCTCAAAGTAAGGTAAGTTGCAAAAATTATCGCACTATTTTCAACTTTTAGTCTTCTACATATAGGTGCAAGGTATGATATACTCTTCGTGTCTTACTTGAAGATATCACAATTTTTTTTCAGAACTAAGAAGACGACTGAGACAATATACAAGGGTGTTGATGATGTTTGGAGTGAAGCTGAGGAGACATCTAAAAAGGTAAGCCATTGACAGATAATTGTTCAATATTGATAACTGTGCCCTATTCATTTGTTTGTTTTATGCTCAATTGCTCGTAGATTTATAGGGGCATTCTTTTTCCACTTGTAGGTTACTGCAAATATCAAAGAAAAAATGTTTGCTGCTAAGGAAGAGGTAAGGA